AGGAAAAATTACTTGCAAATAAATAGCAAATATATTTATTTGAAATAGCCAATTTTAAAATATTATTATACATAGCAAGAGTTTTAAGTTTAATCTATCTTTTGTTGTATCCTGTATCGATTAGCTATGTATAGTAAATGTATAGCAAAATTAATACACTGATACTCAGAGTGAATTGCATTTTTTTAAAAAAATAAACTAATGCAATGTTTGATAATTAGTCAAACTATCACTAATCATCAATAATTAAGGCTCAAAATTATCGCTATTTCTAAATTTCCTCCTTTAAAAACCAATTGAATTAAAAAAATTAACAATTTACAGAACCAAGAAGCCGTTAATTATTTTGTCTCAAAACGACTTTATAGTACTCTATCTAAAAATAAATTATCTAATAACTCTGATGAAATATTAAGAATAATATATATATATATATTAATTTACAATGCCAGTGATCACATAGAAAATCAATTAGCCAATTATATTATACACAAAAATATATATGTGATTTTAGGTTTTGTTCGAAATATCTCATTAATGGGCTGAATTTCAATTTTGGAATTGAAAATTGGAAAATCTATATAACTAGGAAACCTAAGTGCAATATGTTCCTACTTTAAAATAATTATCCAACTAAGTTATAATATTATCTTGATAGAAAAATTTATACAATTATATTCAATTTCCTATTTCATGCATAATTAGCTAGAAGTTATATCTGACTATTTTCTTGTAAAATTTATCATAGTTAACTTAATTTTATTTTATTTCACAAATACAAGACTAAAATAAAATATAATCGCAAAAAAAAAAGTTCGAAATTAAAATATAGCCACAAAATATTAGTTTCAACTTTTTTTTTTCTTTTCCATTCACACTTCTTTCTAGGGGTGTACAAAATCAAACCAAACCGCAAATTGAATCAAATTGAAAAAAATCGGACTAGTAATTTGGTTTGACTTGATTTGGTATTGAAAAATAAAATCCGACTATATTTGATTTGGTTTGATTTTAACTAACTGTAATGACCCTCCTAGCCGTTTTGGGAATTTTTAATCATTATTTTTTTTATTTACCTTTTTAATAGATTTTATAAATAATTTATGACTTATAAATATTAGTGATATGATTTTTAAATTTAATAAATAATTATTTTGTTGGTAATAATAATAGAAAAAGAAAAAAAAAGGAAAGGAAATTAAATAAGTAAATAAAATAATAATAATAATATTTAAAAAGAAGGGCAAAGTGCCCTAAACGGTTGAAAAGTCTCTTGACGGTTGAAGATGGATTGAAAATCAACGAACAGACCAAAAAAAAATATGCAGAAGAAGTAAAGAAAAGAAAGGGAGAATAATTGATATTTTCATCTAAGGCATTAAGGTAATTAATCCCATTCTTTTTATTAATTTTTTATATAATTAAAAGTAGATTTTTAGGTTAAAACGTGTATAAATTTATAGTAACATATGAATTTGTAATTATGCATATAAGTTATTATATACTAAATTTTTTTTAATTATTATTATTATATGTTGGTATGTGACAAATTGAATTTTAAGTTGCTGTAATATTGATTTATCAAATCGATGAGTAAGTGTATTCTATGAGTTTCTAGTGAAAAGTTTTAGTGGTTAATCATGAAGTAATTACTACCAATGATTGGGGAAATAGGTTGAAGACGCATTGTGTAAAAGAACTTAATTAAAGTATATGTGATTTGAGAAAAGTTTGATGTCAATCATTTTGTAATTTTAATTAAATTCACAATAAAATATTCATACATGTATAATCCTTGTTTACTGTTTTCAGAAGGTGCGACAAAATAATTGTCAAGTAAATCATGTAACTAATTGAGATTATGGATAGTGATTCGTAAATAAGAATAGAGATTATGGGTTTGATTTTGATTTCACAATTTTCTTATAGTTAGCAAGTATAATTCAAATTTTGGTATAACAAGATAGGTAATCAAATATTAATGATACTATATTATATGATGTGATAAGATTTATATGATATTTGGAGGATTTAAGAATTAAATCTAGATCTGAAATTTAGTAAATATAAGTCTTGACATACTAATTGACGTTAACATTCGGAGCTTGATTATAGAATTGGGTGGTTTTTTTAAGGTCTATAGTACTAAATACAGAGTGATGTGGGTGTTGTTAGTCTTGTAATCTTATTGTGATCATTTTTTGAATAGATTTCTTTGAGTTGGAAGTTCAACGAAAGGGGAAGACTCAAGTTTTGAAGCGAATTATTCTGGATTGACTGAGGCAAGTGGATTTCTAAACATTTGTTAAGTGTATAGAATGCGTGTATTTCCTTGTGGTATATGTTTGGAAATAATGAGACTTGGTGATGGATTGACTTGTCCCATTGATTAATTCTAATGATGAAAACAAAGGGTAATAAAAGGCAATGTGAATAATTGCTTATCAGTGATATGTTGATAATAGAGAATGGTTTGAAAGGCTTGTTGAATCATTGTTGTTGTTGTGAATTGTGCAATGTTATGAAAATGGTTATCTCCTTGTTATTTTTGTGAACATATCATTTGCATTGTTCTAAGACATGACTGTAATAAGTGTTATGTGCATTTAGAAAGAATGAGAAATTAAAGAGGATTTACCATCTCAAGAGTCGTATCAAGCGACACAATGAATACTATATTTCAAGGGACGTATCGCACGCCGCGATGAATACTATATATGGAGGAACACCGTGATGGTTACTATTATCGAGAATTGTATCGCACACCGCGATGGATGCATGGACAGATATGTCCCCCATGGGTCACGAACTGAGAGACAGCGAGTGCGTAGCACTAGGTCAAACATGCATCATTATACTTGATATTGCATTCATTTGCATTGCACATACTTATCATTAGTGAACTTGATATTGTATTTTGTTGATCTTGTGAATGCATTTATGTGAAATTGGTGATTGACGAATACTAAGCTTGTTGTTGAGGATATATAATTTGTTGAAGTATTGTTGTCCAGGATATGTAATTTGTTAAAGTGTTGTTGTTGAGGATATTTAATTTGTTAAAGTGTTGTTGTTGAAGACATGTAATTTGTTAAAGTGTTGTTGTTGAGGACGTTTAATTTGTCAAAGTGTTGTTATTGTTGAGGATATGTAATTGCCTAAGTATTGTTGTTGAACTATGTGCGCTTTAAACTGAGTTTTTAGGTTGGGCTGATTTTTGTGCAGGTTGTAGTTGTAGAGATTCGATTGAGTGATAGAAGTACCTGTATGTCATCCCCTTAGCTTGTGTTTGGAGGTTTACTTGCTGAGTACCGTGTGATTTGGTACTAACTCTTCTTCTACAATTTTTTGTAGGTTAATAACCTGGACTTTTGTGATATATTCTCTTCTTTTTCGAGATTTTTTGGAGATTTGCGAGGTAGCTGTTTGTCATCTCAGCAGACCTTCTTACTTTTGTTTATGATTTTTGTTCTACTCTAAAAACAATGTCATATAGACTACATTTTCTTTTAATTCAATTATAATACTCTAAAAACTTGTACACGTGACAACCAGATTTTTGGGATATTATTTTGGCTTTTTATAAAATTTTCAAATTTTAGTGTAATGGTTATGAGTTTTAGGCTGACTTGTCTTGATGGATAAGACAAGTGTCATCACGTTTATTTTTGGATAGTGACACTAACAAAAATCAACTCGAGACCAAACCAACCCGACGTTATACAAGTAATTTTAAAATTTTATTTTATACATAAAAATATTTAGTTTAATATCATTTTAAAATATTTCTTATACTATTTCATAATTTTATCTTTTAATATATTATTTCAAGTTTAAAACTTAGAATTCGAAATGGTCCTATAAAGATTATAATTCATAGATGTTGATAATTTTAATAGAACTTAAATCAAAATCAAATTAATACTAATGCAAAAAAAAAATCAATCCAACAGTAAGAATGACAATAATGTTGAATATTTATTCTTTAGTATTTTATTATATTTGACCTAAACAATTAAAATACATAATCTAATTTTAATTTTCCTTCAATATATAGTAATGTAATTAATACTTATTAAACTTATTTTAGCATAATTTATTAAGATTGTTTTTCTTATGACTTTATAATATTTATTTTACATGATGATTTCATAATTATTATTTTTTATTGAATATTTTTGTGTTATCATATTGGAAATTAATTATATGTTTGTATGCAATCCATATTGGAAATATTCAAAAATACAAAAAAATCCAAAGTTTATTAGTTTAGTTGAATTTATATATTTAAATATTCAACATAATGATTTAATTTAATATTTGAAAAATCCAAATTGATTCGAGATTAAAAACTCCAAAAAATCTGAATTATTAAAAATAAAAAAATAAACTTAAAATTATATTAAAACTCAAAAAATAAACTTAAAATTATTTTTGCACATCCTTAAGATATACGAGTGACTTGTAATAATACAGATATTATAAATCAAAGAGTTTATTGGGTTTACTCGACAAAGTTTATTCCAACTACCGGGATTTATTCCATTATCGGTTTGTTCCAACTGCCGAGCTTACAGTTTACTCCATACACCAGACAGTAGTCTTTAGTCTTAAGAATAAAAGTTAGGCTAATTTATTTATTTATTTAAAATTAATTGTATTCAAATGTTACAAAACAAATATTGCAATGTATAAAACCAAATAAAATGAGCTCTTCATCATCATGTAACAATATTAAAACAATTGAAGATCATATCAATGCAAATTATTTGTTTAACATCCAAAAAGAAAAATAATAAATTAAAAAGAAGAATCACTCAGTTCAGCGGGGTACTCGACACGCAAACAAACTCTACAAAATAGAGAAGCCTGCAATCCGGTCTGTTGAGCTTGAATATTATGGAGTCGTCATCGTGATTCTTCTTAGTAGTAATAAAATAGATTAGGTAAAAGAGTCTATTTATCAAAAAATCACATTGTCATGGAATTGAATTTATCCATATATCATCAGAAGAAAAACTATTTTCATTCACAATCATGTGATTGTGTCCAAAGGTGTCCTAAGATTGATATGTATATCATCATTTGATATATGGCGACACTTGAAACTTGCACAAAATGTATCTACCTAAATAAAATTAGTAATAAAAATCGAATCTGTATGTGATTCAGATGCAATAATGTAATCACTAGCATAAAATCAGTCCAAGTGTTGGAATAATAATAATTGCTTCATCATCATCACCATTTAAAACAATAACAATAACAAAAAAAAAAGATTAAGATCATTCAGTAATGGCAAATTAATTTATTGGTTCGATTCTGCCAGCAATTTTCCTCACCGATATCAGTAGAGGGAGCTTAGATATCCTCATAACGATCTCAATTTCACAAATAAATAAATTTAAAAAAAATAAAAGTCACTCGGTTCAGCGGGGTACTCGACACGCAAACTTACTCTAACAATAGAGAAGCCTGCAATCCGGTCTGTTGAGCTTGAATTTCATGGAGTCGTCACCGTGACAATAAATTAGCACAAAAACAAAGAGATTTAAAACGGGAAATGGACAAATAGATCTAAAAAAAATGAAGTAGATCTAAGGGAGGATTGAAATGGCTCAGTAGTGGCTAGTTATTATTGGTTCGATTCTGCCAGCAAGTTTCCTCAGCTTTAACTCAGAAGAGGGAGCTTAAGAATCCTCATAGCAAAATCAACCTCCCCAAAAATTTAATCAGAAAATCTCAAAAAAATAGATATAAAAAATGTAAGATGTAAGAAGAGAATGCTCAGTGAAGAAGGAGATCGACATGCAAAGGCATAAGCCCCTGACAATCCGGTCTGTTGAGCTTGATCTTTTACAGAGTCTTCATAGCGACTCTTCCTTGTACATCTAAGTAAAACACAAAAAAAAAAAATAAGAGGAATTTGTTGGTGCTCACTGTATTGTGTGATGGCAGTGATGGGGGCGGTCACTCTCAATTTATAGAGGTTCTGCTAGGGTTTCTAGGTTAAGATGGAGAAGCTCTGCGGCTAACCTTTTTAGCGAAATGACCGATTCAACCCCGGATTTATTGAAATATTACGAAAAATTCTCATATTTCTCCTCTGGTCTAAGAATTTTGATAGTCCAATGGGCTACGAATATGAGAGTCCAATAAGTTTTCACGAACCACAGAGTACGGTGAAGCGGTAAAAAGAAATAAATAAATTTATATATTTTTCTTTATAAAAATAGGGGGAAATTACTAGCATAATGTTACTTTATCTATTTTCAATATTTTTCTATTTTTTTTATTAAAATTCAAGAATTTATTTTTTTACATCCAATGATACTTTACTTACTTTTTAAGTTGGAACTCAAAAATAAACTTTTTCCATCCTCCAAATTTCTCTCAAATTTTTCCTCCCTAAAATTTTCAGTTAAAAATTTAAATTAAATTTGAAATTCAAAAAAATCTTATTCCTATTCATCCGATAAGAGTCCAAAACAAGTATATCATCTTCTCTATTATGATTTCTTTCTTTTTATTTTTTCTTTTTTTACATTTTCACTGTCTTTTCTTTTCTAAAAAGTTTGTAGTTTTTTTTTTTCAGAATTGAAACCTTTGAAGATTTGAGTTAAATTTTTAAATTGTTGTTATCAGTTTACTGCATGAAAAAGGGGATCAAAAAAAGAAATTATAATTAACCCCATGAATCACGCGAATGTTTAACAATTTTACCAATCAATGTTAATAAACCTCAAACTGAATAAGGCATTTTTTAATTTTAAATTGTGAAACTTTCTCATTTTTCTTCAAAAAAAAAAAGTAAAACTTTAATTCTTTTTTATGGCTATTTTTTCTTTTTATTTTCTTTTGGTTTGGGATGTTGTTTTGGCTTCTTTCTTTGATGTCTAGAGAGATTATTATTTTATATTTGGTACAATTGCATCTATGTGTTAGTGTGTTATGCAGTTCCAATGAAATCAATGTCAGACAGAAGTGATTGATCAGTTTTAAATTGTGTTTTGAAAGAAGTTATCTTGCCAACAAGGTACAAAAGAATGTCCAGTAGATCAAGAAAAGAAGAAAAATCTAGATGAAAACTAACATCAAATATGAACTATTATGGATGATGTGGACAAGTCGAAGAACTTGTACTTTCTTTCCGAATCTTGATTAATACTTTTTTGGCGTACTTTATTTTTTTTCAGATCTAATAATTTTTAAATTATAACATTTCTTTTCACTATTACAAAGTTTACATTAAAAAGTACTTTTAGCTTACTAATTTTCGATCCAATAAATTGTAATATTATGCTTTTCAGTTCAGATTATATTTTTTTTATTGTTAATTTTTGATAAGGTGAATCCGGTATACATATTGTGTATTGTTTTGTGTTTGATATAAAGTTACTTTTAAAATATATGTCGTATTGGTTAAATAATCAATGTATATGTAACTGCTAATAAGTACTGAAAATACTATTACATTGCATTGATTTATTTAACATAATGAATTTGATACTTAATTCTTCGAAATTTTTTGTATCTAATAATATAGTATCAAGTGTTATAAATGTACCGGATAAGAGTTGTGATGTGTATAGGATAAGAGACATAATGTTAAATGATACTAAATATATTGCAAATTTAGAGAATTGAAACAATTGTAAATATATAATATTAGGTTTAATATTGTGAGACACATCAATTTGTGATGTTGAAAGAATGATAAACAATAATTGTGTATCATATACTTAATATACTTTTTTTTGCTAATTTGTTCTACACATCAATTTGTACTATTGAAAGCATGATAAATAATAATTATGTATCATATACATAATATATTATATGACAAATTTGTGTCAACTTATAATATAGTATCAACTATAGTCATTTATCTGTAACAAATTTATAAGAAACATAATGTAAAAAAGTACTAAATGTATTGAAAGTTAACTGATCTGTATCAAGTATAAAAATATAGTATCACGTGTTGTGATACATCTAAATGTTGTTATATAAAAAATAATCGTGTATCATATGAATAACAAAATTTTAAAAAATCTTGTATCTGCTAATAATATAGTATCAATTATATATTAATTGTAATATACTCTATATTACAATTAATATAAAATATAAAATATAAAATATATAATGGATAAAATACTTATAATAGACAAAACGTAACAAGGTACTAACAATATCAAATATTATATTCAAATTAAATAATTTTGTTACAAAAAACTGTAAAACTTGAGAAAATATATCTTGAAAAATAAAAAACCCTCCAAAATATTAGTTAATGTATCTTAAAAACAATAAACATCAAAAGTTGTCTGTGAATTGGTACATAATCACTAATTTATGTGAATCAAGTCATCTTGTTGTTGTGGAGTGAAATGGCTCTTCAACTTTAGTGGATCATCTCTATCGCTAACATATTCTACCTTGACCTAGTCGAGATCGTACTTCCATAATAGTGTTTCATATCTTGTGCGAAGGTAGTCAACTCAGAAACCATTAGATGAACGTTGACTTCATCGCTAAAGAATTCAGCAAATGCAACTACAAACATTCAACCGTCACTATAAACATTCTGCATGTACATTATAAAAATGAATTAAATTTTGAACAAAAAGTTAATTACACGATACTTTATAGTAACTACAAAAAATCTTATTGTTTAGTTGATACATAATGACAATAATAATAACTAATACTCAATACACTTGATGATATTTGTTTCTGATACTAAATAAAACATCATATATTCATTATATGTTATTTAAGTATCGTGGTTAAACTATTTTATAATATGATACACTATAATAGTAAATTACATCTCATCAAAATAATTTCTACTATATAGTTTGATAGATTAGTGACAATATATCGAAAAATAAAAAGAATCAAAATTAGAATTTTATATAATTTCGTCAGATTTAAAGTAAGGTACAAAATAATATGATAATTTATCATTGTTGTCAACATATCTAACTTTTTAAAAATAACTCACCAGGGATGAAATTCTTCCACATTTTCTTTATAAGATGAAGTTTCATCCTTCTTCGACTTTGTCTTCTAAATATTATGATTCACCATTGTTAATGAATCCTTCAACCTTTTGTATCTATTTTCAGCTCAATAATCATCATCGGAATCATAAAGAGTTGATTAGATCTATTTTAATGAAAATTTTCATCATCAAAATTAAATACATAAGGCACCATACTAAAAAGAAGGAGCATAATCATATGTATAAGAAAATTGTAAATAAAAATATTATTTTTTTAAATAAAAAATGAAATCTGAAGAATTAGTAATAAAAAATTGATGAAAAAATAGTCTCACCTCTTTAGGAACTTGAAATTGATGAACTTGAGAGAGAATAGATTTAAAATTAAAAAATTGAGTGATTGATATAACTGTTGATATATGGGAGTGATTTTAGGCGTAAAAATAGGAACAAAATCGTTGGATTGGAAGGGATGTGCTTCGTGGGAAAATGTTATCTCTTTTTCTTTTTTTACGTTGTAACTGATAATAACAAACTAACTATTAAAGTATCTGTCCGCTCTAATTTAAGTATCGTTTTGTTATATTAAGTATTCGAATTAATATAAAAAAAGGAGTTTTTGATAAATAGTGAAACAGTAGGGGTAGAAAGTAATTTGTCCCTTACACTATGTGATTTGCCTAATTTTTACTAAAAATAGATATCAATTGTATAAATAAATAATTACTTATTTAATATATGATATTTATATGCTTAGTGTTAGATAAAACAATATTATTATTTCTCTTATTTACTACATGATATTTTCTTTTAATCTTTTTTCAGAAGGAAAGACATAGCTTTTCCCATGAACTTGTTCCAAAAAGTCAGTTAACGTTAAAATTATCACGGTGATCTACGCAGCTTTACTACTCATAAGTGAATTTTTTACAACTATTAGACGTATAACATCACTCTCACATTAATTTTTTTTATTACTTAACTTTTGGTTTGTTAATTATATTTTACTCATATTAATTTCTAATTAATCATTTTAATTCTCTAATAATTATAACTTATTCTTTACTAAATTCCATCCATTTC